ATTCTTTAGTATTTTTTTAAACATCTTATGAAAAAATATAAAAATAGATATAATAGAAAAGTTAATGAATTTTAATTAATAATTGTTTTGACCCGGTTTTACATGTATTTTAAAGTGTTTAAAAACTACGTATTGCATTTTTCAAGTAATTAAAATGTCGTAAACAATTTCCTGGTTTTAAAAGCGACCGCAGTTACTTAATAAAATGTTTTCATTATTCAACAGTTAAGTATTATTTAATACATTTTATACACTATTCAACAACTTATATTGCGGAAATTGCATTCTAAAATGCAAATACTAATCTTCCTTTTAAATTTTGCAAGTATCGCTAACCGACGAACAACTATACTCTGAAAGCAATAATATAATAATATATTCATAATAACTTATTTAACGATAACCTTTTCGTTTTATGTCAATACTTTCGCCTGCCTAACTGTAGTGTTTGGGGGTTATAATAGTCGGGAGAGAAGACGCAACAATAAATGTTCGTGTATTGTATTTGTGGTGGTGGTTACGTTAACATTACAATAGGTTTGGGGAGGGTTAATAAAGAGAAGGAATTTAATGCCGATTCATAACTTTAAGTGAACACAATATTTTTATATCTTCTGTATTTGGAAGAACTAGAATGCGAAATGTTTCTACTGCATTGCTTCTAATTTTTTTTTTTTACTGTATTTTTCAATCTACTATATTTTGTTTTCTGTTTTTTTTTTAAACTTTTTTTTTTTTGTATATAGGGTGGTTATCAATTGTTAGGAGAGGTTGATATTTGAAGGAGGGGGAGTCCTAGATTTGTAGTGAAAATTAGAGATTGAATCCATTCCTATAATATGAAAGGGGACAGGGCTGTACTGAACAACGATGACGAGGGAGGGGTTTGCAAATAAAAGAAGCTTTTTTTCAATAAAAATTTCACCAAAGTAGGGTTTTTTTATTTTATTTAAAAGCCAAATTTGAGTTTTAACCGACCGAGTCTCAAATTTTTCAAATTAACGACAGAATGTTGTAAATCTGGGAAGGTGCCCACACCCCCGTCAGTACGGCCTTGGCAGAAGAGACTACTTTTGATGTGCGATTATTATTGCACACTACCTATAGGATGCAGCACATAAAAAATATTAGTTAAACGTTCAATAAGCGTAGTGGAGATGGGGGCGCATTGATCGCCGTTGCAGTATTTTGAAAACTGCAAACAACCCGATCTAGATATAAAAACTTATTAATTACTTAACTAAACTAGAACAATCTGTCTTTAAGTAAAAGTAAATGTTTTAATAAAAAACATTAATGAACATGGTATATTTCAACATTACAACAACCCTTGCAAAAGATCAATGTACCCCATGCAATGGGGTACTATGATCTCCGATATGGGGCGCTTTGATCTTATATGAGTAACATTATTTACATGTTTAATACTGCTATACCTAAGTGCTACAAATGCATTAGTTAAAGGGTATTAGTGTATATTATATAATACATCTAAAAAAAAAGTAAAATTTAAAACATATATATATATATATATATATATATATATATATATATATATATATATATATATATATATATATATATATATATATATACATATCATTACAACCTAATACACACCAGTGTATAAAGTTTACATTAGAAGAATAACCACAATTCTATCTATAAAAATAAGCCCGTTATATACTACTAACATATATATGTGTTACAAAACTTGAAGCTTATAAAGTCTATAAGAATACAGTATTTTAAGTTTACAAAGAAAATACAAGATTCATACAAGACTTTTATTAGAACTAAAGTTTACAAGATTATTTTTTTATATTATCATCCTTTGTCAAAATCAAGTCGTTGATGCTGCTTTTACATTACATTGTTTTTTGTTCCTAAGCAAGTAGTTTTTAACTTTTCCCCTTTTTTTATCTTTTGCGATGAGTTTCTTTTGTTGGTTGATTTGTTTTAGGGTTTTCTTTTCTTCTGACAAACGAATTTCCTTTCTGATTGGAGTATCAGTCAAAATCCTTGTTTTTAATTGCCTACTTTTAACACTTCTTTTTCTAGCAGATGCGTTGGGGTAAGGTTTCAAAGCTTCAGGTGAGAGTAATGAAGCAATGCTTGGTAACACTTTTTTCGAAAAACTTGTTTCATGATGTACTACAGGCATTTCAGGCTCCATGCCATCAACATGTGCTACAGTCATTTCAGGTTCCACAAGAATTGTGTTTACTACATTTGGAGCAGCACGATCTGTAACTGATGATGGTAAATATTCATCATCTTTAAAAATTTCTGGATTAAATGGCTCAATGCCAGCTACTTGAAATCCTCTCTGCATATTAGATGGTGAGAAAGCTTTTGTATATGTTTCGCGAACTATTGAAACAATAACATAAATGGTCATAGGTCTTGGATTTGTGACCATCCAATTATCACACGCAGCATTGTAAAACCTTTTCAATGGTCCAAAAACAGTTCTATCCAATGGTTGCAATTTATGGGT